GCCCAGGCTGGCCTCGAACTCACAGAGATCCGCCTGGCTCTGCCTCCCGAGTGCTGGGATTAAAGGCGTGCGCCACCAACGCCCGGCCTTATTTATTTATTTATTTATTTATTTATTTATTTATTTATTTATTTATTTTTGCAGTGATAGAAATTGAATATCATATAGGCTAGATAAGGGCTCTGAACTCCATCATGCCCCCCACTTAAAGATTTGTTTTCTTATCAATTATGTGTGTGTGTGTGTGTGTGTGTGTGTGTGTATGTATGGTTTATGTATGTGTAGTACAAGTGTCCCCTGAGTTCAGAAGAGGGTATCAGATCCTCTGGAACTAGAGCTACAGGTGGTTGTGACCAACCTGAGATGGGTCCTCTACAAGAAGAGTATGAGCAGTGTGAGCTCTTAACCACTGGTCATCTCTCTAGCCCATAGAGCTATCCGCCCACCCCTGCCCCTCTTTAAGACAGGGTTTCTCTGTGTAGTCCTGGCTGTTCTGGATCTCGCTCTATAGACCAGGCTGGCCTCGAACTCAGATCCGCCTGCCTCTGCCTCCCAAGTGCTGGGATTAAAGTTGTGCGCCACCACCGCCAGCTGCAGAGCTCTCCTTTTAGGGTTGAATAACAGTCTGTTGTATATAGAGACCCCATCTTGCTTTGGATAGTTATTTCTAAATTGTATGAACTGGTCTAGAGAGGACAGTATACAATCTAATAATTCCAATTGCTTGCTTGTTTTCCACTGGCTCTTATTGTAGAAGCATTATTTTAGTCCTAGCAGAGATGGTTATAGAGGGACATCACTCTCCTTCTTAGGGGCAGTCTCAGTGGTGGGGGACTAGGCACCTAATGGACTAATTCCAGGTGGTAGTCCGAGACATTTGGTCTGGGAGTCTGCAGTCATACACATAGTGGGACCTTGTAGTAGCAGACTGTGTTTTCCTGTCCATTCTAATTCCTTGTTCACTGTCCCATGCAGTATCGTGAAGAACGCTTCCGTCTGACCAGTGAGAGCACCAACCAGAGGGTCCTGTGGTGGTCAATCGCCCAGACTGTCATCCTTATCCTCACCGGAATCTGGCAGATGCGTCACCTCAAGAGCTTTTTTGAGGCCAAGAAGCTGGTGTAGGGCTCTTGCCGTATAACCTTTCCCTTTTACCTCAATTATTTGATAATCTCCCCATCTAGTCCCTGTCCACCTGGCTTTTGAGGAGGAAAAATGAAAAAAACAATGTGTCACATTGGTCTCGTGGCAGTGAGCCATTGAGATCAGCTACCTTTTGACCCTCCAAGAAACAGGCATTGGCCCGAGCTTTCCAAATCTGCCTTAGGGTTTGGGAGACGTTGGAATTAACCCAAGATCAAGTCATTTCTTTTGCCTCTGGTGTTCTTCTGTTTTTGAAGACAAAATGTCCAAATGCTCTTCTGTTTGTCTGCTTATGTAGTAGGCAACTGGCATGCCCCGTGGAGGAGACCCTGCCTCAGTGTTCCTGGGTCAGTCCTGAGTTCTCCCAAATCTTTGTGAATGTAAATAAGGGGCAGTTCTTGGCCCTGAAGGATTGAGATGTTTTTCTATATTTTAGAACTATTTTTGGATAAATTATATATTTTCCTTCCTGGTTGAATCATCGCTGCCTGTAACAAGCCAGAAACACTAATCCAGACCTTATGCGTTGTACTTATTCACACATTTTGAATAACCTCCCTGCAGTGCTCAGAGTTTCAGCAGTCTGGGGCCAGAAAGCAGGTACGGTAGTTACTCTGGAGTCCGTCTTAGAAGGCCAAGAAGAGCTCTCTTGAGCGCGTGTGAGTCCAGTCCCACAGGGTCACAGAGTCGGGAAAGAGTGACAGTGACCTGCAGCAGACACTCTCTCTCAGCTCTCAAGTCAGCAATGGAAAGGGTTTCGTGGGTTCTTTTTTTGTTTTTGAGACAGTCTCGCTCTGTTGCTCTGGCTGGCCTGGAACTCCCTATGTGGACTAGACTAGCCTCAGATCCACCCGTGTCTGCTTACCACCTGCTGTGATTAAAAAGGCATGTGCCACCACACCTGACATAAATATTTTCTTCAAGGGAACCAGATTTTGGTTCTGGATACAGATTTTTTTTTTCCAATGAAATAAAACATAGTACCTATGTTTGATATAAAATAATAGGTTGTGGGCAGAGGTGAGGCAAAAAAAAAAAAAAAAAAAAAAAGGTTACTGGCCTAGACTGCTTGCCTTTATAGAAGAAATGGGGTAGACTTCAGTGGGCTCTCATGCTGCCGCTTGGCCTGGGAGCGGATGGGTTGATGGCTTACCCATTCTGAAAGGTCACCCTAGTAGAGAAGAGGGCATCGTGGAACTGACAAAGCAAAGACATTGGCTTCTTAGCCCCTGAATCATAAACAGCACTTTCCTTACCCGCTTCTGTAGAAACCTCATGCCAGTGCTGCCCATTCTTGATATTTTACTTCACAGGTTTATTATATATTTATTTGGAATATTTATTAAATTCCTTTTTCTGACTTATAGAACCAAACTCTCCCCTTATTTCTGTGTACTCTACTATATATGAACCTGTCCCCCCCCCCCCCCCCAGACGGGTTTCTCTGTGTAGCTTTGTGCCTGTCCTGGAACTCACTCTGTAGACCAAGCTGGCCTCGAACTCACAGAGATCCTCCTGGCTCTGCCTCCTGAGTGCTGGGATTAAAGGCGTGCGTCACCACCGCCCGGCTTATGAACCTGTTTTACACTTAGAATATATGCAATTTTTTTTTTTAGTTTGCAAAGAGGAAGGCAAAAAAAAAAAAAAAAAAAAGGAAAAGTTCTACATATCCCTTTTATTTCCTATTTCTAATTCTGGATGACCACTTAACCACCAGAAAAATTCCTCTGGTACTCAAAATAGTTTTGCAGTTTTCTTCAGTTTAGGATCAGTATGAGAAGCCGGTTGTTGTTGTTGTTGTTGTTGGTGGTGGTGGTGGTGGTGGTGGTGGTGGTGGTGGTGGTGCACGCCTTTGATCCCAGCACTTGGGAGGCAGAGGCAGGAGGATCTCTGAGTTCAGACCTGGTCTACAGAGTGAGTTCCAAGACAGCCAAGGCTACACAGAGAAACCCTATCTTGAAAAACAAAATCAGTATGAGAAATTAGATATTAATAGAGTTGTTTAGTTTTAGAGACAGAGTATATGTCTCCACCTTGGAGACTTAACAGATATCTGGCATCACTCAAGTACTGCCAGATGCAGGCTTGTATATGAAGAAGACCATCAGAAAAAGATATGTACATTACAATTTGTAAGAGAAGCAGAATTAAAGTTATGACGTAGCAACGAAAATAACTTCATGGTTGGGGTCATCACTACATGAGGAACTGTATTAAAGGGTCCAGCAATAGGTAGGGTGAGCCCACTGTAATCACGTGTTCCAGAGACTAGCTTTGCAGTTAGGCTTCAAGACCTATCTTAAGTGTCCCTTTGGCTTAGCCTTCCACTTTTCCTCTCCTTTGCTGCTGGTTGAGAACTGAACCTAAGGCACCATGCATTCTAGGGAGGAGTTCTACACTGAGCCGTTTTCCCGCTTTTTAAAGACCCTCTGTTGCTCTTCCCTTCAGCTCAGCCCACTCCTGTTAGCAGGAGTGCTTTTTCTTTCTTAATAGACAGTCACTATACTAAGACACCAACAATCTCTTCTATTATTGCCCTAACGATAATTACCAGATGGCTTAAAACAATAAACTGTTAGGTTTGAGACCAGACTAGGTGACCTTCGGGCAAGCAGTTTATTAAAGAGCCAGACAGTGGCAGGGTGAAGGAACGGCTTTTAATCCGCTGGGGAGGGAGCAGAGTTCTCTTAAGTTCCCTTGTGATGGAAGTGGTAGCAGGGGAGGTGCTCAGACCTGGGCTGACATCACCCAACTAGACTTGGAGACACAGTTTATTGTATTTTCGGCTTTAGAAAGTGTTTAAGAGGTTCCAATGATGTCGGGCATAGTGGTGCAGCTTTAATCCCACCCAGCCTGGTCTACCTGCCAAATTCCAGGCCAGCCACAGCTAAACAGTGAGAACCTGTGTCAGAAAAACAGAATAAAAAGGTCCCAAGAACATCCCAGGGAAAGGGATTCTGGAAGAATGGGCCTAGCTGGCATGTGGTAACACTGACTGACTGCAGCCCTTCTGGTTTTGGTTTTCTGGGAAAGTCGGGTCCCAGGATGGGGTCGGGTCAACTTCGGCAAGCTGTAAAAGACAGCAGGACGTGTGGCCGGATCCGCCAGAGTCTTCATAGCAGCTGGTTTTGGTTTTTTGAGACAGTTTTTCTGTGTAGCTCTGCCTGTCCTGGCACTCTGTAGCCCAGGCTGGCTTCGAACTCAGAGATCCGACTGCCTCTGCCTCCCAACTGCTGGATTAAAAGGCGTGCGCTCCCACCGCTGGGCGAAACATTTATCTTAATAGGTGAACACTGTCGTGATTTCAGCCGGGTCAGAGTCTCTCACACCGGTTACCCACAGACCTATAACTCCCCCGCGCATATGCCGATGTGGCGGCCTTGCTCCTCCTCCTCCTCCTCAGCCCCAAAGCGGTCGGATCCTAACCATAATTTAGCAGGCCAAGTCCTGCCCCGCCACTCTGCGCGTCACGGAAGGTTGGGGCGCCAGGGGACACCTACCCAAGGCTCTCAGAGACAGCCTCTGCGCCTGCGCACGGCACAGCAGCACAGATTTCGCAACAACTCCGATTCCCACACGGAAAAACTTCCCGGAAGTGACGGCTCCCCCGGAACTGATTAGTTGTTGGTTTGTCCCGCCCTTACGCGTGCGCACTGTCAGCACGGGAGCACGCCATGGAGGACCAAGAAGCGCTGGGTTTTGAACACATGGGGCTGGATCCCCGGCTCCTGCAGGTAGTGGGACGGTTGTGGAGCTGGGACCCGGCGTGCCGCCGCACTCGGCGCCGCCTGAGCCGCGTCCTTTCCCTTCTTAGGCTGTCGCCGACTTGGGCTGGTCGCGACCGACGCTGATCCAGGAGAAGGCCATACCTCTGGCCCTGGAGGGGAAGGACCTCCTGGCCCGCGCCCGCACGGGCTCCGGGAAGACGGCAGCTTATGCGCTTCCGATGCTGCAGTTGCTTCTGCACAAGAAGGCGGTGGGTAGCGAGAGGGGCGGTGGGCACGAGGAAGGAAGCCCCAGAAGGCCGGGGAGGGGAGGGTCCCTGTGTGCAAAGGTTTCTCTTGCTCCCTTGCTCGTGTTTGGCGGGCTAGAGAGAACCTGGTCCATTTGCCGCATAAGCTCAGAGCTCGAGTTCAGGTTACCTGGCTCTCTACCCAGGCCTTGCTGCCACTACCTCTAGCCGTGTGGTAATCTTGAGTAAACCGTTTTTTACCTGGAGAATACACATCAGCTCCATACCTAGTCTGTGTTAGTTTCCGACACGCACCAAGTTATTTTCAAATTTCAGTGCTCGTGAAAGCTCTCCCTTCAGTGTTCTGAGGTGGGCAGAATTAAGAGTTTATCAGAACACAGCCAAGTCATTGTATTGTTCGGTCCCCACTGTTTGGAAGAGGTGGAGAAAAGCAAAAGGGGGACCCAGTACTTTTTTTTTTGGGGGGGGGGGTTCGAGACAGGGTTTCTCTGTGTAGTTTTGGTGCCTGTCCTGGATCTCGCTCTGTAGCCCAGGCTGGCCTCGAACTCACAAAGATCCGCCTTTCTCTCTAAAGGCGTGCGCCACCGCCACCCGGCAGGACCCAGTACTTTTAACAGTCTTTAACTCATGCTTTTACAGACAGGTCCTGTAACGGAACAGGCCGTGAGAGGCCTTGTCCTTGTTCCCACTAAGGAGCTGGCCCGGCAGGCCCAGTCCATGATCCAGCAGCTGGCTGCCTACTGTGCCCGGGATGTGCGAGTGGCTAATGTCTCCGCTGCTGAAGACACAGCCTCTCAGAGGTAGGTGAAGCCTGCTGGGCTCTAAAGGAACAGAGCTATGCAAAGACGTGGCTTTGGTTTTGTGAACAGCAAGGGAAGGCAGGTCTGCCAGACTGAGGTTCTGGCGGCTAAATTGGTGCTCCCTGTAACTTGCCCCCTGCAGAGCTATGTTGATGGAGAAGCCAGATGTGGTGGTGGGGACTCCGTCCCGAATTTTAAACCACTTGCAGCAGGACAGCTTGAAGCTCCGTGACTCCCTGGAGCTGCTGGTGGTAGACGAAGCTGACCTCCTTTTTTCCTTTGGCTTTGAAGACGAGCTCAAGAGTCTGCTCTGGTAAGGAAGAGACGGAAGTGGCGCCTGGTGGGACCCTCCGTGAGTCCAGACTTGGAGTGGGATGGGCGGGACTCGAGCCTGACCACGTCCTGGTTTTTCCTTCAGTCACTTGCCCCGGATTTACCAAGCCTTCCTCATGTCGGCCACTTTCAATGAGGACGTCCAAGCTCTGAAGGAGCTGGTGCTACATAACCCGGTAAGGGGTGCCGAGGGAGCATTGGGGCTGGAGCCGGGGACACTCGGAGGAAACGTTTGGCATTTGGGGTGGGACTGTTGTTGGATGTGTCCTTCCTGGTTCTTAGTCACCTCAAATGATTGTATATGTCTAGGTGTCCCCAGTCCAGACTATGCTTTGCCTAGAAGGCTTACCTGGGGTCACTGTGTCCTCAAGGGGAGCTAAAATTCTAAGATCAGAGTTCTCTTGTATATATTGCAGTCTTCAGAACCATCGTGTAGGCCTTCCATGCTGCATGCTGTCTCCTGTCTGTTTCTCTTTGTTCTGTGCACTGATGCTGTATGTATAGTGTATGTATGTATAGTGTATATATGTATAGTGTATGTATGTATAGTATACATATATAGTTTCTGTGTACCACAAAGTTAGGGTGCTTTGGGTTCTTAGGTACGACCCTGGGGGTAGGATGTGTGTGTAGTGGGGAGATGGGGTGATGGCTCACTGTCTGCTCTGCACTGATGTGGGTGCTTTGGTTGGTGAGGCAGTGGCCATAGCGTAGCGCCTCTTCCCGTTTTTTCCTGATCACAGGTGTATCTTCCTAGGTTACCCTCAAGTTGCAGGAGTCGCAGCTGCCGGGGCCAGACCAGCTGCAGCAGTTCCAGGTGGTCTGTGAGACTGAAGAAGACAAATTCTTGCTGCTCTATGCCCTGCTCAAGCTGTCACTGATTCGGGGCAAAGCCTTGCTCTTTGTCAACACTCTAGAGAGGGGTTACCGGCTCCGTCTTTTCCTGGAACAGTTCAGCATCCCCTCCTGCGTGCTCAATGGAGAACTCCCGCTGCGCTCCAGGTTTGTTCGGGTCTGTGTCTTGGTGAAGATAAGCGGAGAAGAAACATGGAAGGAGAACCCAGTTCATTCTTTTCTTTTTGTAAGAGTTTGTGCTCATTTGTAGTCCAGGCCAGCCTTGAACTTCAGTCCTCTTGCCTCAGTTTTCCAAGTGCTGGAATTAAAGCGATGGGCCAGCTCACACAGCTTCTCCCCCTCCTCCCTTTGCAGTGCCAGGGAGTGAACCCAGAGCCTGTTCATGCTGGACAAGCGCCCAGCCGCTGAGTGCTACACCCAGCCCCGTGTTCTTGTTTCTCTCTCTCTCTCCTTTTTTCTTGAGACAGGGTTTCTCTATGTAACCCTGGTTGTCCTGGAACTTGCTCTGTAGACCAGGCTGGTCCCAAACTCACAGAGATCCACCTGCCTCTGTCTCCTAAGTGCTAGGATTAAAGGCATGCACCCCCACTGCCTGGCTTTGTTCCTGTTTTTAAGCACTTGCTGGGGCTCAGACTCTCAACATACGTGATGAGTATTTCTTACAACCCTGAAATACTTACTGGTGCTCCATTTAGGGGAAGAAATTATTTTTATTTTTTATATGCATGGGTGTTTTGCTTGCGTTTATTTATGTATTTATTTATGCCTGACGCCTGTGGATGCCAGAAGAGGGTGTTGGAGCTCTTAAAATTGGAGTTACAGACAACTTATTAGCCACCATATTGGTACTGGGAATAGAGCGTGGATCCTCTGGGAGAGCAGCCAGTGAATTTAACCACTGAGCCCATTACTCATTTCCAACTGAGGAAGTTGAGGCACAGCCCTGAAGATGATAAAGGAGGTTAAAGAGGACAAAGTAGGAAAGGATGGTGGGTAGGATGATGCTAGGACTGGGAGGAGCCTCTTGTGCCGTAGGTGACCATTCCTCTCGGACTGCAGGTGCCACATCATCTCACAGTTCAACCAAGGCTTCTACGACTGTGTCATAGCAACAGATGCGGAAATCCTGGGACCCCCAGTCAAAAGCAAGCGGCGAGGCCGCGGGTCCAAAGGAGACAAGTAAGTCCACAGTTCTCTTTTACCAGCGTTCCCTCAAGAGGCCCATTTCTGCATTTGTCAGGCTAAAGCCAAAGTGCATAGAGCGGACACTCTGGACGGTTATACCAGGCAGTCCTATGGGCCTTGCTTAGCTCCCTGGACAGACTTGGAGAAGCAGAGAAGGTGGTCAGACTCTGTCTGCACACACACACAGCACAGGGTCAGGCTGGGCAAGGGGTGATGTGAGCTGACTTACAGGGGAGATGGTCCGGTCAGCCCCAGGCATGTGACTGTATTCTGCTATTGCCCAGCACTGAGGTCAGGGCCAGGGTTTGGCCCTGAGGTAATTCTAATGTCCAAAAGTTTGGTGGTCTTTCAGCTATGCTTACAAGGTAGTTTGGAGACTGAACTTGAGAATGCCTTTCCGAGGGCAAGGATCTGGCTGACACTGGGCTCTTTCCCCAGGGCCTCTGATCCGGAGTCAGGTGTGGCCCGGGGCATAGACTTCCACCACGTATCTGCCGTACTCAACTTCGACCTTCCTCCCACTCCAGAAGCCTATGTTCATCGAGCTGGCAGGTAGGGGGACGGCACTGTGGTGAGCCAGGGCGTGCTGAAGGAGTTGGGGTGATGTGGACAGGCCAGTGATGCGTGCTTGATCCCCTCCCACTCCAGGACAGCTCGAGCCAACAACCCAGGCATAGTTCTGACCTTTGTGCTGCCCACGGAACAGGCTTCCTTGGCAAAGATTGAGGCGCTTCTCAGTGGAGGTAAGAGCCCTGGCTCCGTGCTCTTGGGTCTCTAGGAGCCAGGCTTCTCCCATCACACCTTGAAACCTGCCACAGTACCTAATCATTGATGCACCCGTCATTGAAGAGCACGAGAGTGAGACATGATGATTGACACTTGGAGGCTAGCCTGGGATATATATATATGGGATATATATATATATATATATATGTATATATATATATATATATATGGGATATATATATCTCAAGACCCTTTTGTTGTTGCTACTTTTAAATCAAGGACTGGATCAGTGGTTAAGGGTACTTGTTGCTCCTTCAGAGGACTCAGGCTCAGTCCCTAGCATCCCCTTGGTCGTTCATAGCTGTCTGTAGCTCCAGGACCCTCTTTTGGCATCTGCAGGCATCAGACCTGTACATGGTGGGTTGTGAGGCTGAGGCTGTGATGGCACATGGGGCTCAAGGACGCACCCTTGACCAAAGCATCTTGGGAACTGCTCTTAGACCCAAGTGTAGTGAGGCTGAGTCGTCTCGGGGGATAGCCTCCTTCAGAGAAGAGGAGCAGCAGGCTGCTAGGGGAGAAGGCCTTCCATGGCCCTGCCCTCAGCCCTCACTGCCGCCTTCTCCCCAGAGGGCGAGGCTCCCATCCTGCTTCCCTACCAGTTCCAGATGGAGGAGATCGAAAGCTTTCGCTATCGCTGCAGGGTAAGCTCAACACTGGGGTGGGCGGGGGTGGTGGTGGTTGAGGAATGGGCTGTGACCCGGGGATTGTGCCCCATTGCTCAGGTATAAGGCTGTCTGACCCCTGGTCTGCCCACAGGATGCCATGCGCTCAGTGACCAAACAGGCCATTCGAGAGGCGAGATTGAAGGAGATCAAGGAGGAGCTTCTGCACTCAGAGAAGCTCAAGGTGAGGGCAAGCTTGGGAGCTGTCCTTTTGAGGGCTGGCCAGGCTCTGGGGAGTGAGAAGCAGAGAGCTGGGCAGGAAGCCAGCTGAAAGACAGCTGGTCTGCTGGGAGAGCAGGGGGCACATTTCATGGTGGGCACTTGGCATTAGGCACAAGTGAGCGTACGTGGGGATGGGGGTTGGGGTGGGGATGTGTGGGGTGTGCATTCATGCACATTCATTGCAACACTATTAGGGAGCCAAAGATGGAAGCCCCGTCGTAGGGTCCACACCAGGGGCCTTAGATTGTACAGGCCATACCTGATGTTACACAGACTCTGGAAAGAGTGAAGGTGTGATGAGGAATCTCATCTGTGATTCACAGTGCTGTTGTTTGTGTCATAGAGAAGAATGTCTTGTGCAGGGCATGTCCTTGTACCGTGGTTGGGACTCAGAAGAACTAGAATATCTAGCTGCCCCTAGTTGAGAACCCTCCAGAGTTGACAGATTTCCAGGTGGTGATATCTGCCTTGCTGCAGCATGCAGTGCCTTACTTGGCCAGCAGAGGTCAGCTGTGCAAACCATGAGAAGCCAGTCCTGGTTCGTGCTAGGCCATGGCTGTCGAGGAGGTTGAAGAACAGAGTGGTAGGCAAACTTGATGAGGTCACTTTTTGTGCCTCTAAAACTCTGAGCTCTCTCTGTCTGTCAGACATACTTTGAAGACAATCCCAGGGACCTCCAGCTGCTGCGCCATGATCTGCCCTTGCACCCTGCGGTGGTAAAACCTCATCTGGGCAATGTCCCTGACTACTTGGGTGAGTGTTGCTGAGGATGAGGAGACTGGAGGAAATGGCCGACCTTTCCTTGGCCATCTTCCACCAGCCCCTGTGCTTGGTGTTGGGAAAGCTTCTTGCACGTGAGAGGATCTAGAGACCCGGGCAGCACAGCACGTGTGAACATGAATAACTGTGCTGCCATGTACTAGCTCATGTAGACTCGACTCCCCTCCCCTCCCCTCCCCTCCCCTCCCCTCCATTCCCTTCCCTCTTTCTTCTCTCTGGATTGCTAAGACTCCCTGTGTAGCCCTGGCTGTCCTGGAACTCACTCTGTAGCCCAGGCTGGCCTTGAACTCAGAGATCCACCTGACTCTGCCTCCTGAGTGCTGGGATTAAAGGTGTGCGCCACCACCACCCGGCTGGAACTGTTTCTTGGGTCAGGATTGGAGACTGTGCTGCAGGTGTATAGGGTGGCACTGAGAAGGGGATGGGACAGTGCTGGAGGCCAGGTCTCTTGGGGTAGAGGGGACTGTAGCTGGAGTTTAGAAGCAGGGGTGAGGCTACGCTAAGGCCCAGCATCTCTTCCAGTTCCTGCTGCTCTTCGTGGCCTTGTGCATCCTCGAAAGAAACGGAGAAAGCTGCCCGCCTATAGGAAGGCTAAGGTATGTCTCCTGGGAGTCTTGGGACAATGGCAGGGTTACCTCCCTCCTTGCCTTCATCTTCAGCAGCTGCCTTGCCTGAGGGAGGGATAGGACTCGCAGGGATAGGGGTGTGGGCTTGTGGTTTCGCGCAGCTGCCCGGAGGCTGTTTCTGACCGTAGCTGACCTCCCTCACCTTGTCGGCAGCAGCTAATAGTCTCTGGCTTGTGGCACAGGGGTCTTGCCGGGTGCCAGCACCGCCCACTCCGTGGGGACCATCTGACTGTTTCTCACAACTAACTTGTGACTCTGCCCCTGTAGAAGGTGAAGACCCAGAACCCACTGCGTGACTTCCGGCACAGGGGAAAGAAACCCAAACCCACAGCAAAGCCCTCCTGAGGTGGCCTGGGCCTGAGGACACCGAATTGGCGTCCTGACCTGGATGGAGTGAGGGGGCTTCCACTCTGTGGGCACACTCTGATGCTCACTGTCTGGACAGACCGTACTTTGAAGCAGCAGCCTTGGGCACCCCATCTCCTTGGTACTGCTGGACTGCCATCCTGCTGCTTAACAGAATAAAGATTCTGGCTGCCCAGGCTGTGAGCCTCTGGCCTTTCGAAGAGACTGCTTTCCCGAGTCTCCAGAGTTGACAAACTTTCCAAAGGTGATATTGTCTGGCTTTGCTGCTGCATGTAGTACCTCGATGGGCCAGCAGAGGTCAGCTGTGGAAGCCATGAGAAGCCTGTCCTGATGCTGCTGGTCCAGTGCTGGGCCCTGGCTGACCCAGAGCCCTGTATCTGGTTCCTGTAGCTCTATTGATCCAGGTCAGCTGATAGATGGGCTTGTGTTCCCAGGACAGGGCATTCCTGACCACAAGCCCCTGGATCTCACCAGCACATTCATGTTTACATTCAGAGGGAAAAGTCACTGAGCCCTGGTAGCCAAGGCAGCTGGCTTCCCTTCCTGGATGAAAGATGTGTGATAATTCTTGTCTGTTTCAGATACATGAGTAGTAGTATAATGAATGCACACCCATGATACCTGTTTTAGGGTTTCTATTATTGTGAAGAGACACCATGACCACAGCAACTCGTATAAAGGAAAACATTTATTTGGGGTGGTTTTCAGTTGCATAAGTTTAGTCCATTGTCATCATGGTAGGACATGGCTGCAAGCAGGCAGACATAGTGCTGGAGAAGGAGCTGAGAATTATGCACATTGGTCCACAGACAACCAGAGTGAACTATGACACTGGACGTAGCTTGAGCATAGGAGACCTCAAAGCCCACCCCCACAGGGACACACTTGGTCCAACAAGGCCACACCTCCTAATAGTGCCACTCCCATGGGAGCCACTTTCTTTCATACCACCACAACCGCCCTTCCTCCGTGTCCTGACAGCACTGGCTACAGGAGCATTCAGAGGAGGTGATTCTCAGCTCGCCCAGCATCCTGTGTGCCCCCTGTACCACAGTGTCACTCTATGGCTGTCTGCTTGTCACTTGCCTATTGGGCATCATTAGGCTAGACTGTGGTGGGAGGGGACAGTGGGAGAGGAGACTGTCAAATCAAAAGTGAGCTTTGGGGGGTTGGGGATTTAGCTCAGTGGTAGAGTGCTTGCCTAGCAAGCACAAGGCCCTGGGTTCGATCCTCAGCTCTGGAAAAAATAAAAATAAAAAAATAAAAGTGAGCTTTGGTTATAGTTAGGGTGTGTGGTGTCAGTGACAGGATCTGAGTTGTGGTTTCTACAGAGCGACAGGAATTGTCGGTGGGTAGATGTATTCCAGGGCCTCGATGCCCAGTGTTTGTACAGTCAGGTCCAGTTGAATTGAGAAAAAGTCCTTAGAGCTGGAGACCAAGAACAACTCTGGGGGCTGGAAAGGTGATTTCCTGGACAGCACGCTTGCTGTGCAAGTGGTGAGGGCCCGAGTTTGCGCCCTAGCGTCCACGTAAAAGCTGGGTGGGGCCCGAGTTTGCGCCCTAGCGTCCATGTAAAAGCTGGGTGGGGCCCGAGTTTGCGCCCTAGCGTCCATGTAAAAGCTGGGTGCGGCGGTTTGCATCTGCAACTCCGTTGTGGGCCTTGTAGGCCGGGAAGGCAAAGGATTCTTGGAGCTGCTGGCTAACAGTAGCAAAAACAGCAAGCTCTGAGTTCAGTGAAAGGCCTGATCTCAATAAGCTGGAGAGCAATAGAGGAAGACTGGAAGGACACAAGAGCCTCAGCTTGTGGCCTCTGCATGCATAATAGCACACAGAAAAAGAGCAACTCTTGGCCTTTCCCATCCTGCCTTGTTGACAACCCTGGACAGTTGAGTGCACTAAGTTGAATGTTGCATCCATGCCTGCTCTTAACAGGATACATTTTCCTATGGCTTCTGTCTATGATCCTGTCACTTTAGTTACCATGGTGAGTACATATGCACCAGAACCAAATAATGGAAAGATTTCCCCGTGAGATTTTTCTGGGGAGATGAATCTGGTACTCTGCTGTGTGACGTCATCAAGGAGTGGGACCAGAGCTGTGGTGGAGAGCATGGCAGCTGTTACATGTATGCTTTCCTGCTTAGCAACCCTTGAGGAGGCTTAAAAGTGACTCAGTGGGATTGGCAAAATGGCCCAGCAGGTAAAGGTGCTTGCCAACAAGGTGTGTGGACCAAATTCAATCTCGAACCCACATGGTGGAGGGAGAGCTGACGCCCACATATGTACCACAGCCTTTGTGACCCCTACATACAAATAAATTGAAAACTGAAGCAACCTGGTCAAGATGAGGTAGATGTGGGACTAGGTAGGGTTTGGAGGCTGGCCAGGCCAGCGGTACAGGACCACATGGCTTAGTTGTCTGCCGCAGTAGCTGTTGGGACTACTCCATCCTGTCCCACGAAGGTGATGTAAGGTGTAAGGTAATCTGTTGCAGTTGCAACAGGCCCATCCCTTTGGGGGATGAAATGACAGGCTGTGGAGAAAATGTTCCCTGTGTTTTCTGAATCTATTTGGGAGAGTATGTAGAGCTCACTGTCTTCGGGTTCCTATTGTGATGAAACACCATAATCAAAGTAACTGGAGGAGGAGAGTTTAGCTTGCAGTTCCATATAACAGTTTATCAGCAAAAGTAGTGAGGGCGGAAACCTGGAGGCAGGAGTTGATGCAGAGGCCATGGAGGGGTGCTGCTTAATGGCTTAGCCTGCTTTCTAATAGAACTCAGGACTACCAGCCCTAGGATGGCACAACCCACAATGGACTGACTGTACCCTCCCCATCAATCACTAAGAAAATGCCCTACAGTCATGCCTACAGCCTGCTCATAAGGAGGCATTTTCTTAAGTGAAGTTCCCTCTCGAATGACTTCAGCTTGTGTCACGTTGACATAAAACTGTCTAGCACACTCATTCTATGCCCAAATGGCCTTGTCATGTGTGGAGATTCAGGTGCTTGGGGTTAGTAGGGTTGTCTCTTGGACTCAATTTGGGAATGAAGTCTGTTACTAACCTTACAACAGCTTATCTAAACTAGGATAGGATGAGCCTGTGACTAGGTATACTCATAGTAGAGTCAAAAATGGGCTACCTGGGACTAGGAGGCACTTGGCCAGGTAAACCTGGAAAGGAAGAATGTGGCAGGGCTTGCTGGAAGCTTGAGGCTTCGCCAAGCAGTAGAGAACAAAAAAAAAAACAAAAAAAAAAAAACAAAAAACAAAACCCAGGCAGTTCTCCAGTCTGGGGATGCCCTACAGTCCGACATTCTCTTTTCTTTTCTTTTCTTTTCTTTTTTTTTCTTTTTCTTTCTTTCTGTCCTCCCCCCCCCCCCCCCGCCACGGTTTCTCTGTGTAGCTTTGGAGCCTATTCTGGAACTCAGAGATCTGCCTCTGCCTCCCAAGTGCTGGAATTAAAGGCATGCGCCACCACCGCCCGCCTCAGTCTGACATTTTCATTTTCACCTGGGCAAGCTGCTGTTCCTTGGCCATGACCTTATTTATAATCAGGAACAAGACAGTCTGCCTGCAAGAACATTTATGGGAACCAAGAATTGGACCCCTAGCCAGGCAGTGGTGCCACACATCTAGAGGCAGGTGGATCTCTGAGTTCAAGGTCAGCCTGGTCTACAGAGTGAGTTCCAGGATAGCCAGGACTGCACAGAGAAACCCTGTCTGGGGAGGATTTGGACCCCTAAGCTACAGTTGACTTCACAAGTTAGGGCTTGTACCATCTGTTTCTGCCTGTAGGAGGAAAAGCATTGTATATTCCTCAAGGCTTACATTCCAGGGTAGAGGGTTGACATTTGGGTAGTTCCCAAACCGGGAGATAGTCAGGATGGGGAAGCCAGGATGCTGGAGGTTTGAGTTGGTCGGAGGGGCTGCTGAGGCAGGAAGGGCAGGAGGGAATGGCAGTCCTGCAGGGGACCTACTTCTGCAAATTCCCTGGGAATGAAGGTGCATTTGAAGATGAAAACACCAGTGTGGTTGTCACCAAAGATTGTGACAGATTGAATTCATCCGGTTTGAACTTGGGAATCGGAAGGTCTCCTGTAAAAGGTGAAGGGAGTTCTGGGTTCTTAGAGGATAGCATCCTGACCAGATAGTCATACTATGTTGATAATGGGACAGGGTGTGTCCAGAACCTCTGGACCTAGAGCATGGAAGGTTCCATGCTCCGTACTAATTCTCTGCTTCTATCTGCCAAGGATTAATGACTCAGCTTTTGAGGAACTCATCGTGGGACTTTGGCCTTTACAATTGATGTCCCTGGGAGGAAATAGTGATAAGGTAGAACCTGAGCAGGGAGACGCCTCAGTTCATGTTATCCTCCTTTCCCAGGAAAATGGCTATGAGAGGCTCACTTTACAGAAGGGCCTGCAAGTTGCTACTTTTCCATTTACAACAAGCTACTTCTTCCATCCTTCCTCTCTACCTCCTTCCTTCCCTCCCCCCCTCTCTCTCTCTCTCTCTCTCTCTCTCTCTCTCTCTCTCTCTCTCTCTCTCTCTTTCTTCCCCCCCCCCTTTTGTTTTTTTGAGACATGGTTTCTCTGTATAACAGCCCTAGCTTCCCTGGAACTTGCTTTGTGGACCAGGCTGGCCTAAAACTCATAGAGATCTGCCTGCCTCTGCCTCCTGAGTTCTGTAATTAAAGGTGTGTGCCACCATGACTGGATCATCTCCTTTTCTAATTTTGTTATGTTTATTTTTATTTTGTTTATTTTATGTGTCTGGGTGATTTGTGAGACCCTCTCTTTTTAACAAGGATAAAGGAAGGACAAAGTTGGTTCACTGAAGAGGGCTGAGTAGACCTGCTGTGTGCTGGGCATACACACTCATTACTTATTCTTCCTGAGACGCCTCCAGTACTGGACAGCTTTCCAGCTCAGCCACCTGCCTGCCTACACATGTACCAACAAACCGCAGGGATTTGCATTGAGTGCGATAAAGGTGTCTGTGGCCATGACAGTTACAGAGCACGGCACATCAAGAGGGTCCTTTGTGACAGAGCAGCACATCTTCACGTACCCAGCATGGCATGGTTACAGAGGCTGGGCCCGCCCATCACAGCCACTTACTGGCCATATGGCCTCATAAGGAGAGACACTGCCTTTTTGAATCCCCTGTAA